AAAAAGAAGTGATGAAAAGAATTCTCAGTAAGCAAAGGGGAAAGGCTAGAATGAAGGAACCCTGTGGTGCTGGATGGGAGTTGGAGGTCTTGGCTGGAACTCGATACAGAGATGTGTGTGCGTGTATATACATGAGTTTGTATAAATACATAAGTTTCTAACTCTTTCTGCTGAGATGGCCCAGCACCACCTTATCCAAGCGATCAAGATTATCATCACTAGTAATAAGACATATGTTTTTTTCTCTTTTCTTTAAGATTTATTTTTCCTTTTTCTCTAAAGCCCCCCAGTACATAGTTGTGTATTTTTTTTTAATTGTGGGTCCTTCTAGTTGTGGCATGTGGGACACCACCTCAGCATGGCTTGATGAGCGGTGCCATGTCTGTGCCCAGGATCCGAACCGGCGAAACTCTGGGCCACCAAAGCCGAGCACGCGAACTTAACCACTCAGCCATGGGGCCGGCCTGTGTTTTTAAAAAGTAGTTGTGAGGAGAGCAGGCTGTAGGGGTAAGGACTGGGTGTGGAGGCCCTTGCGATGAGAGTGAGTGACTGGACTAGGTTGGCCGTGGTGAAGACACTGAGCAGGGTGAGATTCTGGATGTTCGATTCTGCATCTGTTTGAAGATTGGATTGACAGGATTTGTTGATGGATTGGATCGGATAAGGGGCCTGAGAGAGAATGACATCAAGATTGCCACCTGGGTTTGGCTTGAACAGCTGGGTGAATGACTGTGCTAGTTCCCAGTGGGGAAAGACTGCAGAAGAAGCAGGTTCAAAGAGAGCAAATCAAGAGTATGGTTTTAGACACGTGATATCTGAGATGTCTTTCAGTCATCTAAATGGAGATGTTGGATAAGTGGGGAAATAGGTATAAACCAGGGAGCTACCAGGATACAGAATGAATCAGTTTATGCATCGTGTGTAGCAAACTGCTCCTCAAACTTTAGTGGGCTTACAAATCCCCTAGAGCTTAATTACAACAGAGATTCCTGGGCCTCCCAGGGATCGTGAAACAGCAGATCCGAGGTAGAGCCGAGAATTTGCATTTCTAACAATTTTGCAGGTGATGCTGATGCTGCTGGTCTTCCAAGCCTGTTTTGAACAGAACTTGGGGCTGGCCTTTTCCCCTGTGTATTCCGTTTTTCCTTCCTCTCTCTCAAAGAAGGCAAAATATCATACTCTGGAGGACAGGTGACTGAAAGCCGTATGCCTCAAGTAATTATTTCTTTTTAAAACAGATAACCTGAGTTTCCTTTACTTTATTTTGCATAAAATCACAGCATAAGTGAAGGGCAGAGTCAGAATTTGAACTCAAATCTCTTGAGTGCTTTGCATTATACCCTCTGCCATATGCAGGACGCTCAACCTTAGACAAGTCTTTAAGCTCTCCCTCTGTTTCCTGCCTGGCTCAAAAGAGATGGTACACGTGAAAGTGCCATGCGAACTCTAACACAGCGTACCCCTGTGAGGGTCCCATTATCACCATTTCAGACGGGGTCAGTGTTTGTCAGTGTGCCTGACCCTTCTGATCTGGGAGCAGTAAGGACTCAGCTCTGATTGTGGACTGAGCCTCTGTGGAGAGAATGTGTGCAGTATAACGAGTTCCTCTGTGCTCTAGAATATGTTCCTTTGGTCTTTGTTTTAGAAATTGCCCCCATGGTGATCAAAACCACAAAGGCTTTCAAAAACAGATTATCATGCCTCTCATCTGAGCACACATGGTATGGCGGGGGACAATTAGGGGGGAGACAGGGGGGAACTGACATTCTACTGACAGCATCTGCTTTGTTCCAGGCCCTTTCCGTATTGAGAGAATCTTTACAGTTGCTCTGTGCATTATATAATATTCCCATTTTACGGATGAGGAGAGGCTCAGAGCCACCACCAGGAAGTGGGGGAGCTTGAATTCTAACCCTGTTCCTTCTGGCTCAAAGCAGCTTTCACCTTGTGTCTGTTGCCTCAAGAGGAAAAGCGAAGCATAGGTACTTGGGCTCAGTTTTATATGATTCTACCTAAAAGCTTCAAGTTGAAGACCATGGGGAGGGTGAGCCCCACGAAAAGGCATGAAAACCTAAAAAAGTGGGGAAAACAAGAAAAACGTATGGGCACCCTCCTTGGGACCTCTGGGAGTGGAAACCCCTGTCGGGAACTGCTGCCCCTGCCCTCTGTTTACATCCGCTTCAGGCTCCACCCTTCACCCAAGTCGGCTAAAGTGCCATTTGTCCAATCATTTAACAAACATTGATTGAAGCACCAGCCTGTGCTGGTCCCAGAAGGAAGACAGACCGTGGTTCCTTCCTCATGGCACTAAAGGCTGCAGTGGAGGAAGGGGACAGGGAGAGTGTAAAAGAATGGACAAAAGCAGGATATATTAAACATGCAAGTACCATTTGACCCAGCAATTCCGCTTCTGGGTATACACACAAAAGAATTGAAAGAAGGGGAGCAGGTATCTGTACACCAATGTTCACAGCAACGTTATTCACAAGAGCCAAAAGGTGGAAGCAACGCAGGTGTCCATAGATGGACGCGTGGATAAACCAAGTGTGGTCATCCATGGGATGCTATTTGGCCTTAAAAAGGAGTGGAATTTTGACACCTGCTACAACATGGAGAACCTCGAGGACATTATGCCAAGTTAAATAAGCCAGACATGAAAGGACAAATATTGTATGATTCCACTTACGTGAGGTACCTGTAGTAGTCAAATTCATAGAGACAGACAGCAGGACAGTGGTTACCAGGAGCTGGGGGAGGGGAGCATGGGGGGTTACTGTTTGCTGGTGTTGAGTTTCAGTTGGGATGATGAAAAAGTTCTGGAGATGAATAGTGATGCTGGTTGCATGACAATGAGTGTACTTAATGCCACTCAACTGTACCTAAAAATAGTTAAAATGCAGGGCTGGCCCCATGGCCGAGTGGTTAAGTTCACACACTCTGCTTTGGCGGCCCAGGGTTTTGCCGGTTCAGATCCTGGGTGTGGACATGTCACCACTCATCAGGCCATGCAGAGGCGGCATCCCACATGCCACAACTAGAAGGACCCATGCTAGAACACACAACTATGTACTGGGGGGCTTTGGGGAGAAAAAGGAAAAATAAAGTCTTTAAAAATAGTTAAAATGGTAAATTTTATGTTATGTATATTTTACCACAGTGAAAAAAAGTAACACATTTGGGGCTCTGTCTTGAAGAAAATGAAATGAAAATAGATTCATCTTACATTTAACCAACAAAAGGTAATATAAATAGGCACATGGCAGCTTTCATGGTAAGTACTACAGAAGTGCTCCCGGGAGCTGGGAGAGAAGAGAACAGGTGAACCTGCTCTGGGTAGTAGGTTAGGGAACCGGGACAGGCTTCCTCAAGAGAATGGCATTTAAAGCAAACCCTGAATGAGTCAGCTTGGTGACAGTGGGGTGGGTATGTGTGGAGGACAGAACTTTGCACGTGGAAGGAAGGAACAGCAAGGGAGGCCAGGAGCAATACAGGCCCTGGTGCAGCGGAGGCATCGCAAGGTTTGTGTGCAGAGCAGAGAGGAGGAGGCAGAGTGGGGAGGGGACGCTGGGCTTGCAGGGCCTTGCAAAGGATTTTAGGCTCCTCCCAGGAGTGAATGGAATCCACCAAAGGGTTTGAGCAAGCGATTTTTATTTCTAATTTGCAAGCCCACTGACTTAGTTGAGACTAAGTAGAAAGAGAAGGACATAAAAATTTATTGAGAGATTACTCTGAACTAGTTAGCTGCTTCACCTACCATTCAGCTGTCGTTAAGCATAACACTTGGCACAGACGAGGTGCTCGATGATGATCCAGAGGGTTGAGTTTACAGACGAGGCTCAGGCTGGTGAAGCCATTTGACCCAAGATAGTGCCACATATGGGATCTGAGCTCTGTGCTTTAAAGGGTCCTTCCCTGGACCTCCTCTACGAGCTGTGCTCCCCCCCTACGGGATGAGAAGGCCACGTGGCCCAGGAATTGTGCCAACCCAGAGCCCGGACCCCCTTCCAACCCAGACCGTAAGTGCCCAAACCCCACATTTCCTTGCTTAAGTGACCCCAGCTCTCTCCCAGAGCCTCTTCTGTGGGTCCCTCCTCCTGAGAACACTGGTATATGGACCCCTAGGCCCACAGGGTGGCACAGGGGCAGCTGGACGTGGGAGTGCACCTTTGGAGCTGTGACTGGTGTGTCCTCCCCGGGGAGCCTGAGGCCCTTGTGCCGCAGGGCAAAGCCCAGCACAGTCTTCTCTTGTGGCTGCAAACCTTTTAACAAACATTCTCTGCCACGTCTGGAGGCAGGAAGTCTGAAATGGGTCTCAGTGGCTGTAATCTGGGTGGTGGCGGGGCTGCCCTCCTTTCTGGAGGCTCCAGGGGAATCCACATACTTGCCTTTTCCAGCTTCTAGAGGCCACCCTTGTGCCTTGGCCCGGGGCCCCCTTCCTCCCTCTTTGAAGCCAGTAATCATATCACTCCAACCTCTGCTTCCATCCTCATGTCTTCTCTGACTCTGATTCTTCTGCCTCCCTCTTTCACTTGTAAGGAAGGACCCTTGTGATTACATTGGGCCCACCCCAATAATCCAGGACAATCTCCCTATCTCAAGGTCAGGGGATGAGCAGTCTTAATTCCCCCTCGCCACTAAAGCAGCACACTCACAGGCTGCAGGCATTAGGCTGTAGACATCTTGGGCAAAGGGGGCATCATTCTGCCTACCACAGGTGGGAAGAGAAGCGGGCAGGTCAGGGGCCACTTTTCCTTATGCCACCATATTCCCAAGAACTCTGGGAATTCTAAATTCATCCCAGCCTTCCAGTCATCATGAAGGTATATTTATCAAGGTAGGAGAATAGCATAGGAACTGTTTTAATGGTTTGTTAGTTTAACTGATAACTTTTAGATATTTAGACATATGGTGTATGGGCCTCCATTTGTACCCGTACCACTGGCCCTGCAAATATTAGGGGTAGGCCTAACCCAACGTCACATAACAAGCAAGTGTCCAAATTGGAACATACAAATTAGACCGCAGATCATGTTATTTCCACCACACAAGGCCACCTCTTCAAAGGCAACAGGCTGCCCCTACTGTCTTACTCAGTTCTGATACTGTGTGTCTCTCTCTGCCTCCCTGCTGGTGATAGGGCTGTCTGTCTTTGAACCTCCTGTCCAGAGCCTGGCTTCTTGAAGCTTCTGGAGCTGCAGTCCTCCTCTAACTAGTTTCCAGTCTGTTCGTACCTTATTCACACCAAGTTTGCCCTATGTGAATATGTGGGTCATTCGAGTTCACTCCCATGCGGATTCCCCAGGCAGTCAGCACCCCCATCAGGGATACGGAGACGGTTCACTCACTGTCCCTCCCCTCAAGGAGCTCGCAGTCTCCCGAGGGCGCCCGACCGTGAAATGGACAGTGACCACAGTGACGAGTACGAGGATAATCAGGGCAGATCTGGGGGTGGGGTCAGGCAGAGCCTTTTCAGAGGAAGTGGTCCTCAGGCTGAGTCTTAACTAGACCAGGAGGCTGAGGGCTGGAATTTGGGGTTGAAAGAGTGGCATAGTCATAGGCCCTGAGCCTACAGCAGGGCACGTTTGGGGAATCCCAAATTGGTCTTGATGACTAGATCAAAGACAGGAGGTGTGAGGAGGCAGAAACGAGGCTTAAATACTAGGAGCCAGATGGACAAGCGGCTTCATGAGGGGCCTTAATGTTGTTCTTCGCTTAGACTCGGGGCCAGTGAGGTGTCTGGTACACAGCAGGCGCTCAGTAAATATTTGCTGAGAAATGGAATGACGTGGAGTTCCTGCACACCACACAGAGGAACCTGCACTTTACATCCTGGAGGCCAGCGGTTCTCAACCCTGGCTGCACATTAGAATCACCTTGGGCGGCTTTAAAAACTAAAAATCTGTGCCCTATGCCAAACCAGTTTCATCTGATTCTCAGGATATGAGGACTTGGTGAGTCCAGATGGTCTTGAAAACTCCCTGGGTGATTCTAAGGTGCCTCCAGGGGGAGAATCAGGGCTTCAGGCCACAGGAGACCTTGGAAGGGTTTTACCCGAAATCAGATTAACATGTTAGGAACGCCTGAATTGACAGCTCTGCGGGAAAGGAATGGGGCTGGCTGCAGAGGTGGTGGTTGTTGAGATGTTGTTTTAGTGATCCAGGTGGGAGAGAATGAAAGCCCCAAGAAAGGAGATGCATGAAGCAAGTGGATTTTGAAAGAGGTTAGAAAGATACAATCAACAGGATTCACTGACTGGGCATAGATGGGTAAGAACCTAGGATCGCCCCCTGGCTTCGGGCTTGGGCAACTAAGGTGAATAATGGTGCTGTTTCCTGGAAGTGGATGTACGGGCAGAGACAGGGTTAGGGAAGATTTGCTGCCTTAAACCTAACAGGCCTCCACCAACAGCTGTCTGCTCTCTCACTGGCCTTCTGACTGGTAATCCCCAGCCTTTCCCTCATCTTCACCTTGCCTCAGGCCCTGCGTAGTTCCAGCTGCTTCTTTTCTTCTTTACCGCCTTCACTGTCCACTTGTGGGGCTGGGCACTTCTCCCGCAAAATCTGGCTGCCGACAGCGAACACGGCTCTTTAGCTCCTCTCCTCTGTGCTGCCCCAAAGACACTCTCTGGGCCTGTTTTCTTTAAAAAAATAAAAGGGGGCTACAGGAATAGGGGGCAGCAGGGAGAACGTTTCCCCTACTGTTATCAAAGAAACACTCATTTAAGAACATTTGGAAAATACTAAAAAAAAAATCACTTACCTCATACCTTATTCCACATAAGTCTGGCCACTGCCATCATTCTGGGGTGTTTCCTGCCCCCCTCCCCTTTTTCACAAGACATAAATTATTTTGTTTTGTTCCTTTTATAGTTGTAATCATACTGGTGAAACTGAACTGACTATGAAAATAATGAGGCAGCTTAAGGGAGACAGTTTGAGTGTGGTGCAGAGAAAGCAATAGAAAAATATACCCCAGTGGAGGCAAGGGCATGGAAACAGGCACTCACAAAGTGTCGTAGAGGCGTTTCAGAGGGCAATTTGACAATATCTATCAAAATCTCGTATGTGTGACCTTGACCCCATAATTCTACTTAGAATTATCCTATGGAAAACAAGTGTTCAAATGCACAGATTTAGGTGGACGAGGATGTTTGGAGCATCAATTTTTTAATAAAACAAGGAAAAGCTGGAGCTCTAAATGTTTATAAGGAGATAAATAAATTACAGAATGTCTATGGAAATGGAGTACCACACTGACATGGAAAGTGCTCCACAGCATATTGTTAAGTGGGGGGAAAACACGTTGCAGGATGGTATGTGGGAGCCCAGTTTGGTATTAGAGGCAGACACAAAGTGCTTATGTCTTGCGAGGCAGGCACTGAAGTGTGCACAGCCGGGACGCGAGGAGTGAATTGGCGGAGGTGGGGACTCCAGAGGACTGTCAGGGTTGCACTGAGACTCAGGCTCTGCGGTGAGCATGGGTGCTTCAGATCCCAGTCCTGCCTCTTACTAGCTGTGTGACCTTTGACAAGTCATTAGCCTGCTGTGCCCTCATTTTCTCACAAGTAAAATCGAGTAAAATAATTGTTCCTATCTCATAGGGTTGAAGTGGGAATTAAATTATTTAGTGCATGTATAACGCTCAACAGTGCTTAAGCCTGTGAATATGCTTAATCAGTGTGACTAAATCAGAGATTCCTGAGTTTGCGTTCCGGCTTCGTCACTCATTGGGCAAATTTCTTAACTTCCCTGAGCCTCAGTTTCCTGCAGGGTAGTAGGGATTTGGGGAAATAGCGTGTGAATATCTTGCTGGAGAAAGGGTCCCTGGCTGTAGTTCCTGGCCCCATTGCAGAGTTGGTAATACCAGTCTCTGGACTTTATCCCTGAGAGTGGATGCCATTAAGTCTCCAGCTGAGGCGGGGCACACTTGAGTGCTTCCAGGACTAGAGATCATGGAAGTCGGCTGCAGCAGCCCCAGTGCCAGAGGCCGGCCGGGAGAGTGGTGTGGATGTGGTAAGAGGCAGAGGTCAGCTACTTCTCAGCTCCAGCCACACCTTGGCTGGTAGAGGCTGGGCCAAGAGCTGCAATCTTACTGTTTTTCAAGAGAAGTTGTGAAATCTCCTAATTTTTAACTCTTGGCAATTAGTTCAATTTTGTAAACACTGTGAGGGCAAACAAAATGTGGCAGCAGGCCATGTTTAGCCCATGAGCTGCCACTTTGCTATCTCTGCTCTAGTTTTTCTCTGCTTGGGTTAGCAAAATATTTACTAGGTGCCTGCTGTACCTATACTCCTTGCCTGGTCGTGTTTATTGTTCTGCAACCTCAGGTCTGCTGGTTCAGTGTTCCTACCAGGTATAATTCAATCTGGTGGGTTTGAAATGGTATTCCATTGTGGTTTTTATTTGCATTTCCCTGATTACTGAGATTGAACATCTTTTTATGTATCTGTAGAAGTTTCCTCTTCCTCAGTAGAATTTTTGTTTCAAGTCTTTGGATCATCCTCTGATTGCTGATGGATTTAGGGCTTCCCTAATGGAATTTTTCTTCTGAATAACGTCACACCCACAAGACTGGACTCCTTGTTCAGGTTGGAGGCTGTCTGCACATCTTAGGAGGCCCAGCACCAAACACAGTGCCTGCCACAGAGTAGGGGCTCAATAAATATTTGAATGAATCGAGTCCTGTTTCAAGAGTATATTTCTTTCTTTATTTTGCAGTTCTCGGCACAAGTATTTCTGATTTGGCTATCAACTTATTCAACAAGCACAACTCCCCCACTTTGATGAGAAAACAGACTGAGAGAGATTTGTTTGTGTCTTGCCCCATTCAAACCAGGAAGTAGAAAGAGGAACTGGCTGCTCTTACAGGAACAGTGATTCTTTTAGGTGATTAGGGAAGTGTCTTTTGAAAGGGGTTTTGGAGCTTGAGAGAGTGCAAGATTGAAACTGGGATAAGCAACTGCATAGAAATTATCCTGACAATGAGGCTGAGGAGGATAAGCCTGAGATGTGAGGCCCCCTTGGTAGCTGGTGCATATCATATTCATACCTGGGATTGAATGTGCGCTTTTCCCCATGACATAGAGGGTCCTGCCTCCTTCACTGGTCAGTCACAAAGTGAAGCCTCTTTCCTGGTGAAGTGGGAAGAGCGTTGTTTTCACAGCCAGAGACCTGGGGGCCAGTCCTAGTGGTTCCCGTTACCTCAACAAGCCTCAGTTTCTTTTTCTGTAAAATAGGGACAATAATATTCACCTCATCAAGGCTATCCTTTAAATGAGGAAACGTTTAAAGCACCCGCTTCTGCTAAGCATACTAAGTCTCCCATTTGATTTTTGTCGTTGTTACTATCACCAGCCTGCCTTCATCCTAGGTCGGAGGGGCCTCTTATCTGGTGAGGAGGGACCTAACACCATATTTGCACAGAATCAATCTGCTGTCTTCTTCTCTTAGGCATCTCTGCTCCCAGGAGCGGTCTTCCGAGGGATTTGCTGATCAAGCCTGGTCTTTGTCGCGGCGCTTTCACTGATTCTTGGTTACACAGCAATTTCTCTAGAGAGTAAGTTCCTTGAGGGCTGCGGGGTGGTCACGCTGCTTTGAATGAGGTGGTTCTGTATGGCTGGAGGTCATGCTGGTTTGAACATGGTGGTTCTCTATGGCTGGTTTTGCATCTGTGCTCAGATTACCTGCTTTTTGTCTTCAAGGTAGAAGAAAATGCCAGCCTCACAACCCCTTTAGTCAAAACCCACTGGAAGTATTGGCAGATGTGCTTATCAATTTCGGGGCTCCTTGACCAAGATTGGGGCGAGGGGGAAATACACTGTGAGCATTGCCTTTTCCCTTGGCTCTCCTTCATATGCCCTCCACTCAAACCATACTTCATTTCCCCCAATACTGCAGACTCTATTGGACTCCAGTCCCTTCACACCTATGGTTGCTTCACCTGGGGTCCTTCCACTTACTTCTCACCTGGCAAATTCCTTCCTTCTCATCCTTCAAGATGGAGGTCAAATGACCCCTCTCTGAAGCCCCCTCTGGCCCTCCAGGCAGCATTAGGCCTCTCTTCTTTGCAGATACTCATTCGCTCACTCACTTGGTTAGCCACAGCTCAACGGAGGGGCTGCTGGGGGCCAGGCTGAGGCGACTGGGATTCACAAAAAAAAGAGTCCTTGCCTAAAGGAGTTCTAGGCTAGCAGGAGAGACAGACCCAAGAATGCAGACAGATGTGTTGACTGTACCATGGAAGCTCTGAGGGGAGTGCCTTACTGGCTTTGAGGGACAGAGGACAGGAAAGGTTCCTGAAGGCGGTGACACCTGTGTGCTAAGAATGTGTGGTATCCAGGCGGAGGGACTGGCAAAGGGCACAGAGGAGAGAAATAATGTGGTGCGAGCAGGACAAAAGCAAGCAGTTGATTTTGCAGGAACACAGGTGAGGGCCAGAAAATGTAGGACTTTCTAATAGGTTCAACCATATGAAATTGTCATTTTTGTAGGTCCAAACAAAAGTAGTCAGATATCATCAATTTCATATGGTTCAAGCTAATATGTCACACTGAAGATCTTATATCTTAGTGTTTCCCAAACTTCTGACATTCCTCAGCCACCTTCATGATTTTTACCTTCCATGAGTTCCTAGCTACTAAGTATCCACTTAATTTTTATTGAAAGAGGCTCCCTTTTTTTACTTAATTTATTTTAAAAGGAAACTTTATGTCAAAATGAAAAAAAGTCACTCGACATAGAAAGAAGCTAATTGTAAAAAGAAACTCAGTGAAAACAAAACTCTTATTAGATCCTCTTGCCCACTATGCTCTGCCTAAAACGTTCCCCTCCCACAAATAAAAAGGGCCTAAGCCATTGTTAGAGGCGTGTGCGGTCAGACAGTTTGAGAGAGTCAACCTCAAGGTGTGAGGGCCCAAGAAGCTTTGTGGCAGTAGGAATTTAGAGGAGAGGATAGAATCAAGAAATGTTTGGGAATGAAAATCACTAGGATTAGTTTGATGTGGTAGGAGAGAAAAGAGAAGTCAAGGTTTTCAGGTTTCTAGCCTGGAAGGCTTGGGGATAGATGATGGTGCCAGCTATAGACGTGGTAAACAGTGATTTAGGGGGGAAGATGATGAGGTAAATTTTGCACGTCTTGTATTTGAGATGCCCAAGAAAAAGCCAGGGTGAGGGTTCAGAGCAGAGCCATTGTGTACAGACAGTCCTTGAGGCTGATGGTGTGAGCCCCCTAATAGAGGAGCAATGGAGGCAGCCATTTTGGTGACTGTGTTTTGCTGCAAATCTTCCCAGCCTAAGAATAGATCTTTGCCCTCCCCCATGGAGGAATAGATGCAGGTCCCAGGAGGCAGCAGTGTGCTTAATCATCTCTGTCTCAACAGCTCCTTGCCCACCAGAGGAGAGTAGATTTAAGGAGAAGATGGCAAGTTCCATCTTGAACCTGCTAGAGTCCTAGAGCCATGGGGGGCATCCAGGTGGAAATGTCCATCCAGACAGATTCTGAACTCTATCCAGGCAATCTGAAGTTTGAGACTAACCCTATAGATTTGGGAATTACAAGCATATAGGTGGTGGTAGAAACCGTGAGAGTGGATGAGAACACCCAAAGTGTATCATAAAAGTAACAGGCCCAGGACTAAACCCAGAGGAAATGTAGCATGAAGGGGAGAGAAGTGGTGGAAAAGGAACAGAATCAGGAGAGGGAAATGTCATGGAAGCCAACAGAATGGAGTTTCCCGGAGAGGAGAAATCACCAATGTCAGATAGAGCAGAGAAGTGTGCCACGATAAAAACACCTTCAGGTGTTGCAATTGGGGTTTTACTGCTGACCTTAGAAAAGTTGTTTTCAGTAGAGTGGTGAGAATAGAAGCCAACATTCATATTGGATTGAGAAGATGAACAAGCATAGACGTCAAATGTAGACTGTAGGGGCCGGCCCCGTGGCCGAGTGGTTAGGTTCACGCACTCCGCTGCAGGCGGCCCAGTGTTTCATTGGTTTGAATCCTGGGCATGGACATGGCACTGCTCATCAAGCCACGCTGAGGCGGTGTCCCACGTGCCACAACTAGAAGGACCTACAACAAAGAATATACGACTATGTACCGGAGGGCTTTGGGGAGAAAAAGGAAAAAAATAAAATCTTAAAAAAAAATGTAGACTGTGTTCTGGGGAAGGTATAACATACCTTTGTTATTTATTCATTCAACAAATGTTTATTGACTGCCTCCTATGTGCCAGGCACTATTCTAGGTGGTAGTGAATAAAGCAGGGAACAAGAAGTTCCCGCTTTCATGGCGCTTACATTCTAGGGGTGGGGAGAGAGAGAATACACAATAAGCAGGTGGAGATAAGTTCTTTGAAGAAAATGAAGTGACAGAGGGGTGGGTGTATGCTATTTTATATAAGCGGTTAAGTAAAGTCTCTCTGATCAGGTGACTGTTAAAGGGATTGTTGAGTTTGTTTTAAAGCACAGTATCAGATTAATTGCAGTCCTTAATTCTTTTTTTTTTTCTTTTGAGGAAGACTAGCCATGAGCTAACTGCTGTCAATTCTCTTTTCACTGAGGAAGACTGGCCCTGAGCTAACATCCGTGCCCATCTTCCTCTACTTTATATGTAGGACGCCTACCACAGCATGGCTTGCCAAGTGGTGCCTTGTCCACACCCGGGATCCGGACTGGCGAACCCCGGGCCGCCGAATCAGAACATGCGCACTTAACCGCTGCAGCACTAGGCCAGCCCTGTAGTCCTTAATTCTTGATACATTGTCTACAGTGTTAAAATAATTAGTTTAGGTCATACCACTCCACTACCTAGGATCCATAAAACTTTACAATCAAATACAAATTCTCTACCATGTCCTCTAAGGCCTTCAATAATCTGCCTTCCTCACCAAATTCATCTGGTACTACCTTTTCCGGTTCTCATTCCACTCCAGCCATACACACCAAAGATGAATTGAATGAATGAATGAATGAATGAATGAATGAAATGTGTCAATTGTATGGTGTCTTCCCAGGTGGCTTCTCTGGCAACAGGCAGCAAGCCAATTTAAGGTCAAAGAGCTCGAGCTTTGGTGCCAGACAAACCTGGCTTTGACTCCTGGCTGGGCTGCTTACAAGTTCTGTGACCTTGGGTGTGTCCAAATCCTCAGTTTCCTCATTTGTGAAATGGAGATTATATGGTATCTATATTGCAGGATTGTTTTAAGGATAAAGTTGATAGTTAACACAAATTGCTTAGCATAATGCCTGGCACGCTGTAAATGCCAAGAATCGGTAGTATTATTATCATCATTGCTACTGTTGTTACTTTGACCGATTAGTCCTCCTCACTTAGCAGATGAGGAACCAGGCTTGGCCAGAGCTGTGTGGTGAGTCTCAGGGGTGCAGGAGGGGTGGTGTGTGGCCAGTGTGGACTTTGGAGCTGAGCAGACCTTGGTTCACGTTTTAGACTTGTAACTTGCTGCATTTGAGCTAGTTGCTCAGCCTCTCTGAGCCTCGGGTTCTCCATCCTTAAAATGCCTCATGAGATGGTTGGAAGGTGGAGAGAGGATGCACATAAAGGTAGCGCAGAGCTGGGCGCCCTAGAAGCCGCTCTTCAGGCAAGCAGCAGCTGTCCTTCCCGATGCTGCTGTGGGGCTGCTTTCTTAATATTCTCTACATAACCCGGGAGGTATTAATTTTTTCTTTCTTCCTAAAGAGAGGGAGGGAGACACAGACCTCTCTGAGAATTTGTAATCTGTTGGCATTCAAACTCAGAGGGTTCATAGACCCCTGCTAACACTCGGGGGAGAAGATTTAATCAGTCCAGACTTAATGCAATCAGTCGACCTCTCCATCTTCCTCTCTCCTCCTCCCCTTTCTTTCTCTTTCCCGTCTGGCCCCATCAGTTCCAGGCTAGCTGCCTTTAGCTCACACTTTTTCTAACAACTTCCTTCCAAGGGCATTCTCAACAAAGGCCACAACCACACTCAGTTTCTGGGGCCGAGGGCATGGTGTCACTTAAATTTCCTAAGCACCAATGTCCTTATCTATAAAATATGTAGTTAGGATTAGTTAAACTAACAGGATTGGCTGATCACACTGTGCCAGGTGTGTTCATACACAGTCTCGTTTAATCCCCACAACAATGCTGTGAGGTAGCTCTTTCATCCACCTCCGTCAACATTTATTGAATGCCTACTGTGTTCTAGGTACTGTTTAGCGACAGTGATGCCTCATGGAGCTTACATATCGGGAAGGGACTATAAAAACAGGAACCACTAAATAAGATAATTTCAAACTGTGATAAATGTAACAAAAATAAAACAAAGAGCTAAGGGAAAGTGTTTCTGTTACTAGCTAGATACAATTTATATAAATTCATGGAGTATAAAAGTATCAAAGTGTATACCTGTTACTTTTTGGTTTTTATGGAAGCTTGTTTTCCTGGTAAGTACAGATTCTCAGCAGGCCGCTCTCCATGGGCTGCATAGAATGCTGCAGCTGCCCCCTTAGCCAAAGGGCCTCAGGGGGTTTTCTGGCCTGATATACTTAAGTTGTTAGTGGAGAATTTGGTCCAATGTCAAGGCAGTCTATAAAAGGTGTGGATTTTGAACCTCAGACACCATTCCCTGGAGCTGGCAGTCTCCACTTGTATTACTCTATTTGAGGAGGGCAAATTGAGCCTTTGAAACCCAGAAAGATGTCATCCCTAAGTAAATAACCAGCTGAGCATGTTTGAAGGATGTGAAACAAAGATGAATGTAGTCAATTCAGAAAAATGAGCCCACCGGGGAAGAGAACAGTGGCTACAACTGTGCAGAACAAAACTGCCCAGATGGAGGGTTTTATGTTCCCCTTTAGAGCAGAACACAATATTCTCTTTACCAAGGCAATGAATTTTCCCTGATAATTGCTGCTTTTAAAAAAATACCTACTGGGGGCCAGCCCTGTGGCCAAGTGGTTAAGTTCATGTGCCCCGCTTCAGCAGCCCCGGGTTCACTAGTTTAGATTCTGGGTGCAGACCTACACACTGCTCATCAAGCCGTGCTGTGGTGGCATCCCACACAGAAGAATTAAAATGCCTACAACTAGAATATACAAGTATCTACTGGGGGCTTTGGGGAGAAAAAAAATACCTACTGTATGCCAGTGTTTAACATAACATATTATAAGCCTCACAAGAAATATATGAAGTAGGAGGAAACAATTTCAGCCATTTTAGGTGACTTGACCAGGAGCCATAGTTAGCACTGGTAGAGTTGGGGTTTGGAACTCAGGTTATCACTGAGCCCCAACCCTCTGTTCTTTACACCTACCATCCAACCAACCTTAGATCCTGCCTACTTGGTAGGATAGAGGAGCGGCTGAGCCCAGGCCAGGAGAGGTCCAAGGGCGAGCCCTCCACCCACCAGTATTCCTCACTCAACATACTGTCCAGCCCACAGAATCTCACTCCCCCATTGCATGACAGGCAACAAGGACTTCCGTCACTATTGAGGACAAGATGGTTGGTGTTTTTTGTTTTTTCACTTGTCTTTCAGTGTTTTAAATGACTCTAGCACCAGCCAGCCTGGGATTGCTCTTTTCCAAAGTTAAAATACCTTTAGGTTATTTTCATTATAAAAGTAGATCATACTTGTTGCAAAAACTCAAAAGTGTGCATAGCAGAAGATGAGAGCCTCCCTGGCCATCTTTCTTCCCTAGGCTAGCCTTACACATGCCTTCTGAGCAGAATAAGATGGGTCTCTTCATTCTTCTCACAGGTGGCTCTAAAGTGCTGGTTAAGAGACCTAGAGAGTCCCCCTCAAGATTTCAGATGATACTCTGGGCTAGCCTTAAGTAAGTAATATTTAGCTCAGTTTTCAACAGACCTTCATGAAATGTCACCCGTGTGCTAGATATTACTGATCCAAGATGGAGAAAACAGCCTGTGACCTTAGGGAACTCATTCTGGTGTTGAACATCTTGTGTAAACCACGGATTGCAATGGAAATCCCTTAGTGAACACAGACAGAGTACCATTTTTAGAACTGGTTCAAAACTTTGTTTTTAATCAGAATGACACATACATAATGAACTGATCAGAGAAGTATTCATATATTCAAGTGTAAGAGTTCTTTACTTTGTAGGTAAACCTGACTCAGGCTGACATAGATGGGGTGGCGGGGTGGGGAGCACCCTCTCCAGTAGCCCCCAGCAACATGCATTATTTCTTTTCATTCTGATTGTTAATATCTCCCTGGGTAACATGCGCAAAATGTTCCAGTGTCCTGAGTATATGCCAGGTCAGTTAGTCAGCAATTCTGCTTCAAGAATCGGCCTGTTTTCCATTACACCAATGCTACATTTTCAAAATGGAAGGAATTTAAAGTGTAGAAGCATTTGCTGTGCAGAGGAGGGAGACTTTAGGGCCAGGACTGGAATCCAAGCCTCCTCACACCAGGGCGATGCCTCCTCCATTGCACCCACAGCTGAGTCTTAGGGCCCCAGCTGGGGGGTCATTAATCTTGTGTGGACTTTTTACCCAGTGCTGATTTTATCGGCTGTATCGTGCTGGGCAGAGAGATTTAAAGTTGGATCCGTTGGTTACTGCACTTGATAAACAAACAGCCCAGTGGCAAGACAGAAGAATAAATTGACAATTTATCTACACCCTGAAAGAGGTCCGTTTTGAAAGGAGGGGCACCAAGCAGAGGGGTGGGAACAAAGCAGGGAGGCTTCTCAGCTAGCCAAGGAATGAAAGCTCATTCGAGCAAATAATTCATGTGAAGTTTCTTTTTCTTTTTCCAGAGCCGGGACCTGGAAGAGCCTCTGGGCTTTTCCGCTTTGGTGACAGGTGAGGTTAGGTACGTTGCCAAGTTGCTGCTGGAGATCAGATTAGGATCTAATCTCATCACATGAGATGTAATTAATGCTACTATTTTAAGTCACTTCTCAATGGTTTAGTTCTTTTTAATAGCAATAATAGTAACAGTAAAATTTAGTGCTTCTAGCATGAGGATAGGGCCCTCAAGATGGTGTCTTGGGCTGGTCTGACTCAGGCTGTACTGAATTCAGGCCCAATTTCAGAGGAAATAGCCATTCATTCATTCATTCATTCAATAAATATTTGCTTGGTGCCTATGTACCAGACAGTATTTGGGGGGGAAATGAGACACACCGACTATTATCTCATGTCGTTAAACTGTTTTGACTTTTGACAAATCTCTTTCTCTCTGGGGTTCCATTCCTCGACCTTATTCAAAGATGCACACTCACAGGGGACCTAGACTTTTTAGATTCAAATTCCAGCTTCGCTTCTTTGCTGTTATGTGACCACATGCAAGTTGAGTTGGTCTCCCTGAGCCTCAGTTTCCTCGTCTGTAAAATGGGGATCATAGAACTCGTTTCATTGGGTTGTACTGAGGGTAACATCAAAATAGCCCGACCACTGGCGCTTCGTGCTCTCGACCCGGGCCGGGCGCCGTCGTTACCCCGCGGATCCCGATTGGCGGCCGGGCCTGCACCGCGGACGGGTGCTCCGCGGGGCGTGCTCGCAGCCCCGGGCGGGAGGGGGCGTCAGGCTTTCCAAGGCCGGGGGCCGGCGCCGAGACGCCGCGGAGGCCCTCCCGGCCCGGGCTGCCCAGCTGCAGGGCGCGGAGCGCGCGGCCCCAGCGGCCCCTCGGGGCGCACCGCGCCGTCCCGGGGGAGGGGCCCCCCAGCCCCCGCCCCGCGCCCGCCGAGCCCGGAAGGGGCCGGTCGCGCTTCCGTCTCCGCCGGGGAGGCCCGGAGGGCGGAGCCGCGGCCCGAGGACGCGACGCGAGCCCAGTTCCGGCGAGGAGGCCGCGCCAGTGACAGCGATGGCGGCGGAGTCGGCGCTCCAAGTGGTGGAGAAGCTGCAGGCGCGCCTGGCCGCCAACCCGGACCCGAAGAAGGTGAGCGGCGGGCGTTGGGCGCGGCGCGGCCCCCTAACGGTCGCGGCCCGGCCCGGCCGGCGGGGCTCGGAGCCGGGGCGGCGGGCGGCGCGCGGCCTGCGGTGGGAGGGACGGCGGGCGGCTCCGCGTGCCAGCGCCGCGGTGCCCCGGAGCGCGGCCCCGGCTCTGCCGTCCCGGCGTCTGCGGGCGCGATCGGGCGGCGGGGACGGTCCTGCGGCGCGGGGTGCGCGCGGCGCGGCGGCTGCTCCTGCGCCGCCTCCAGACGCTCCGGGACTTTCCGGCTCCGCGGTGGAACGTGGGCCTCCTCGCCTTCCCCGGAAAGCCCTCTCCCAGCAAAACAAAATGAACCCCGCGCCGCCTCGCTCTGTGCGCCCCTCACAACTTAGGACGCAGTCGGGAGAAAAACAAAATTAGAAGTTGCGGCCGGATTTCCATCTGGCCTTGAGAGAAAGGTGAGCGCTACCCTCTCTCGTCGCTGCGAGGGATGGGCAACCATTTTTAATGGTGCTCAGCTAGTTTTGCTTTAACTGTTTTCTTAAGTTCAATGCATTCTTCTTCCCGTCCGGCTCTCTGTTATCCAGCTTCCTGGTGGCTGGGAGAGCGTCTTGGGGGTGTTGGATTTTTTTTCAAAATTGAAATACAGCGATGAAGACACTTAGGGTCTTTGACATTCCCCGTCAGCGTTCTGGCTCGAGCGCACAGTTCCCGAGAGTTGGCTCTGCAGCCCCGGGGCGCCGTGTGAAGAGGAAGTCATCCAGGGTGGCAGCGGGGATGAAGCGTTGGCGGAGGTTTGGATTCTGATCCGTTTGCCGGCCGTGGACGTGGGGGACGTTTCTTGCTGAGCCTGTTCCCTCACCTGCTTCTTCCCAGGACGAAACTGAAAAGAGGAAGCGCCAGGCTCATAGGACATGCTCAGTAGCTACTAATTGCCACTCTACAATTTTTCTTGAGGGGCCCCTTTCTTTTCACGTATTCCCAGCCTTTCATAGGTGAGGGGTTTCCCCCTCCATTTCTACAGGCTGCACACAGCCTCTCAACCATCAGACCACTTTTTAACTCTTCTCATGTATACCAAGCTCAAAGGTCCACTTCTTCAGGAAGCCATTTTAGTTTTAAATCTGTGAAAACTTAAATGCTTTCAACTGCTTTGTGTTATATTTTCTATTGTGGCTTCAGAACCTAGTAGCCAGGAATATGTACGAGTTTCTTTTTACAATAATCCTTTGTGGACATGTAATAAATGGTCATTATTCCTGAGTACTAGTTGGTTTCCTAAACTTCGTAGGTTTGTGACTGATTTTTAAAACCTTAAAGCAATATTATGTAAATCCTCTACCGATTTGGTCTTTATTTCTATGAGGTTAAAAACAAATGCAGCATGTAGTATCTATTGTCATTTTTCCTTTCAGATTTTGAAGTAGCTTTCCTAGTAGTTGATATGCATGAAATTTCAAATTAGGAAAAGATTTGTTTGGCTTTTCTTCCTACTTGAACTATTAGTGATTATTGTGAGTATTTGGGCTTTCTCTTCCCATATAGAAAATTACTCTTAACTTGTGGCTTTGCATTATGAAGTAAGCACTATGAAGATGAGAGAATGTTGAGAGGTTATTTTTGCAAAGAGCACAATAGTTCGCATTCAGAAATGAGCTAAGTGCAAAGGGGAAACTGCAAGCTGGCACACTGGCCTTCTTCTCAACCTTCTGTTAACCCAACAAGCTCCTACAGGTTGTTCTTGAAATTGCAAGATGATTATATAGCAGTACTGAATCTGCAAGTAAATCTTGATTTCAAACCATTATTAGCCAAAGGGTTGATTCCACACCTACGTTCATGGATTTTTCTGGTATTAAACATTGGTGTTGAAACTGTCACGCTGTTTTCGCTGTAAGTCCATCTGTGTATGAGCTAGGCTTACTTGGGGAAAAGGTGTCAGGCTGACCAGGGTCACTTGGTTCCTATTATTAAATTGGAAACAATTTTCATTGCTCGTAAAGTTACCTGTCCTGAGTTACATTTTGAATGTGAAAACTACCAAGAACACAGTTGGATGGCAAAGTGGAGAATGAGGGGTCCACATTACGAACATCTTTTGCTCTTTGGGTTGAAGGAGTGTGCAAAGGACAACCGAGATTCCAAAGCATGTATGTGCAAATGTTTGACATTTCTCATAACCTGTTATCACTTCTTGCAAACTCTACAATTGGTCCCTTGGTTTGACAACAGCAAGTTTCCATCTATCTGAGGATGCCCAAATGCTTTTACCTTGTTATTGCTTTCTTCTTTCTTGAACCTCATTGAAAATAGAGGGGCTCTGAAGCCCTTTTTCTTTTATGTTGGGCTAAATCAGTTTGAAGATCCCCAGGGTTTTAGTTTTGTCTGCTTTTAAATTGCCCCTTTTAACCCAAATCAAAGCAGGAAGGCAGCATGCGCACTTCCAGTTAGTGCTAGGCTCTGAGATGAACACAGCCTCAGTGACTTCTGACCCATCCTTATATGTTGACTTTGTAGAGGTCCTGGGACTCTTTGTCCCCATGGTGACCTCCTTTACTTTATGGACTGTAAACTGTCTAACAAGCTAATACAGAGGAGGAGCTCTTCTGCTCTGTTTAGGCATGCTAAGAGGCACATGAGCTACTGCTCTGTTTTCTTTTCCTAGTTTATAAGGACAGGGTCATGTTGGATGTTTCTCCTGGCTTTGTAGTACGTGCTGTGGTAGACACTCTCGACTTACTAGCTCGTTAGGCAAATGACCTAACCTCACTGAGCTCGATTTCAATATCTGTAAAATGGGGAGAATAATATCCACTTTATAGGGTTGTTTAATGAGGACGAAATGAAGTAACACATGTAAGAACTTAGTATAGTAGTTGACACACAGTAGGTGGTATATAAATGCCTTCCAGGGAATGACATTAGGGGAGACAACCTGTTTTTAACCTTTACAGTGATTCTAAATTTTCCTTTAAGAAAAGGAATTGGCATTAATCTTCGCACCCGTAGCTTGGGTGACAAGAAATTCACATAAACTTCCTCCTGAGTTGGATAATGGTGATCGGATTTGAAGTGGAGGGTAATTTTCACTCAACTCTGAAGGTGAAGCTCCCTAGGTACACCACTTGGCTTCTCATTTGTTCCCAGTCAAACAAGATTATCACTTTGATCCAATTGCTCTGCCTAGCGACCACGTTCAGTAATTATTGAAGTAGAATGACCAGAAAAGCATACTTACTACTCCACCTAATAGCAATATGACACGCTAATTATAGCCTGGGCTACACATGGAAAAAGAACAGATCTTGTTATCTAATGTTTAAATGTAAAGGTAGTCACAGTTACCTGTTTTGAACTGCTTCTACTTGGCAGCCCTTCTCGGACGGTCAGTATCTTTATGTCCACATAAACATCTAAAGAAAGGCATAGCCAGTCGTGCTCTGGGTAGAAATGGAGCAAGTAGGAATTGGCTGGGGAATACGTGCTTGAGGATCAAGGGTAGACATTTAAAGAGCTGTCAGTTGATGAATGAAATGATTAATCATAGGCATTTATTGAGCTTTTTGAGTGTTCCAGGCACTATGGCTAAGGATGCGCATGGTTTGTCTCAGTGAATCCTCACAGCTTGTGCAGTAGAGACAGGGTCCAGTTCCTACTGTGCAGATGAAGTAACTGAGGTTCAAAGAGGTCACCGGCTTGCACAAGATCACCAGGGAAGGAGGCGACAGAGCCAAACTGAAGCCTGTCTCTAACTCCGGAACTCTGTCTTAACAGCCCTTCTATCCTGATTTTGACCTAGTTTTAGAGACTACAGAAGGGAAATGTGGCCAAACCCAGATCGCTTTTCTAATCTACCCAGACATTTTGTGTTCACCATTTGCAACAGCAAAGCTCTGCTTCTGGCAACTTGAAATTGGTCTTGGCTTCCCACTTCTGTCCAAAAACCAATTCTGTTAAACACTGGGACTCTTCCTGGAAACACGATGCTCTTTTTCCTGTAGAGACCTCATCTCCTTTTTACTTTCCTCTGTGCCAGGTCTATGGGTAATTTTCCTAAAGTTGGTACCTTTCTCAGAAATTCTCTCTCAAAACTGGGGCAAGACTATAGTTGCTGATGACTTTTATTAGAGTTGGCAGGTTTGATTCTCTTCTCTAAGTCTTATTTCCCCTTTGGTGTAGCATAGTGGTTAAAAGCACGGAATCTAAAGCCACAGACCTGAGTGAATCCTGCCCTATTTGCATCCTGGGGCAAGTAACTTAACTTTCCTGACCTTGTTTTCACACTTGTAAAATAGGGTAATAATCATACTTAGTCCTGTATAACACTTAGAACTGAGTAAGCACTTCACTGTCAGATAATATTCTTATTTCTTCCAGCAAATAATTATGATTTTGTAGAAATTAATGTTCATTTTATTTTCTCTGCAGCTATTGAAATATTTGAAGAAACTCTCTGCCTTGCCTATTACAGTAGACATTCTTGCGGTAAGGACTGTGTAACTTTAGACATTATATGACTATATCCCATCCCCTCCTCACTGGCAGAGATTGGACAGTCAGATTAAGAGCATGGGCTTTGGAAGTGAAAGAAACCAGACATAAGGCCACATTATTGTATGGTTCTATTTATGGGAAATGTCAGAATAGGCAGATCCATAGATAGAAAGTAGATTAGTGGTTGCCAGGGGCTGGGGGAATTGAGAGGAACAGGGTTTCTTTTTAGGGTGATGGAAATGTTTTGGTATTAATGGTGATGGTTGCACAGTATTGTAATCATTTGGAAACCACTAACTATACACTTTAAAATGGTTAAAATGCTGAATTTTATGTTACATGAATTTTATGGCAAAAAATTTTTCTAAAAATTAGAAGAACAGGCTGGCCCCGTGGCCGAGTGGTTAGGTTCACGCACTCCGCTGCAGGTGGCCCAGTGTTTCATTGGTTCGAATCCTGGGCGCGGACATGGCACTGCTCATCAAACCATGCTGAGGCGGCGTCCCACATGCCACAACTAGAAGGACGCACAACGAAGAATAGACAACTATTTACTGGGGGGCTTTGGGGAGAAAAAGGAAAAAATAAAATTTAAAAAAAAAATTAGAAGAAGATTGACTTTGTCATCAACTAGTCCTGGATTCAAATCCAAGTTCTGTGACTTTAGGTTGTTCTTTTTTTGTGCAATGGGGCAGATTCCTGCCTCACAGAGTTGTTGTAAGGATTGATGCACTGTATGCAAAGCTCTTAGCTCAGTGCCTGGCATCTGCCATTATCACTCTTGTCATTACTGTTAAAGGTTTAGAGGCTTTTTTTTTTTTTGAGGAAGATCAGCCCTGAGCTAACTACTGCCAATCTTCCTCTTTTTGCTGAGGAAGACTGGCCCTGAGCTAACATCTGTGCCCATCTTCCTCTATGTTATATGTGGGACGCCCACCACAGCATGGCGTGCCAAGCGGTGCCATGTCCGCACCCAAGATCCGAACCGGCGAACCCCAGGCCGCCGAAGTGGAATGTGCACCACCAGGCCGGCCCCTAGAAGCTTTTTAATTCAGTGTTTTCCTCTTCTGAATCTGGTATGCTTTGCTACTGTGTGTCATCAGAGGTTTGGGGCATAGGCACAAAGTAATTTTGTATTGAGACTTGCAAGGTATGTTTCAGGAAGGAAGTATTGATATGTTGAGTTTCTCAAAGCAAGAGGCCTTATTTCTTTAGAAAATTGTGAACCTTGTTCTGCAACCTTCTAACAATTCCTTTATCAAATCTGTAGGAAACTGGTGTTGGGAAAACAGTAAATAGCCTGCGAAAACACGAGCACGTTGGAAACTTTGCCAGAAACTTAGTGGCCCAGTGGAAGAAGTTGGTTCCTGTGGAACGGTAAGGACATTTACTCTGTAGGTTTGTTCAACTTCATGGTTAAATCTGGTACTCAGAGTGTTTGCAGACAGAAAAGTTTTTCTTTATTATTCTTTCTTTGCCTTCATATTTAAAATATTTATTTTGTCTTATTATTATAAAAATAATCTGTGTTTGGGGCTGGCCCAGTGGCATAGTGGTTAAGTTCGCACACTCTACTTTGGCAGCCCAGGGTTCACGGGTTTGGATCGTGGGCACAGGCCTATATACTGCTCATCAAGCCTTGCTGTGGCAGCATCCCATGTATAAAGTACAGGAGGATTGGCATAGATGTTGAGTGAGGGACAGTCTTCCTCAAGCAAAAAAGAGGAAGATTGGCAACAGGTGTTAGCTCAGGGCCAGTCTTCCTCACCAAAAAAAAAATATAATAATCTATGATCACTATAGAATATTAGAAAATATTAAAAAATAGAAATAATAAAAATTTCATGTAATTCCAAAGAGAAGCATTATTAACATTTTGGCATGTTTCTTTCTACCCTCTTCTTCAAAGACATTTTTATATGGTTGTGAACAAACTGTATAAATAACAGCCTGTTTTTTATGTAACAAGTTAACTGTGTCCCCATGTTGAAAAATATTTAAGGTATTTTCAGGGCCACAAGCTATTTGATCTTCTTTGTATCCTCCAGTTAAATTCGTCATTTTCCACTTATTGAATATTTGTGTTTTCCCACTTTGAAAACTTAGTCGAGTATCTTTGAGCAGCACTCATTTTCCTTTTTCCCAAGAACCTAGTTTCTAACTCTGCATCCTCTTCATCTCTTTTGCGAGTTCAGGTTCTGTGATTTTGTCCTCTGAGTAAGGATTACAGTGAGATTTATATCTGCTTTGTCTGCTTTTTCTTTTATTTTAGGAACACTGAGCCTGACGAACAGGACTATGAGAAGAGCAGTTCCCGAAAGCGCCCGAGGGACGCCCTTCAGAAGGAGGAGGAGATGGAAGAGGACTACCCAGAAAACTGGAAAGCCTCCAGTAGCCAGTCCTATAGTCCGGATCACAGACAGAAAAAACACAGAAAACTCTCGGAGTTCGAGAGACCTCACAAAGTGTCTCACAGTCACGAGAGGAGAGACGAGAGAAAGAGGTGCCGCAGAGCCTCGCCAGTCTACTCTTCAGACCACGAATCATCTGACTATGGCCACGTCCAGTCCCCTCCGTCGTCTGCCAGTCCTCATCAGATGTCCGTGGACCATTACAGATCCCCGGAGGAGGACCATGAGCCCTTTGTCCCACACCAGAAGCCCGGAAAAGGCCACAGTAATGCCTTTCAGGACAGACTAGGAGTCAGTCAAGAACGACACCTGGGCGAACCCCAGGGCAAAGGGGTCATGAGTCAGAACAAGGAGCACAAATCTTCCCACAGAGAAAAATGTCCCGTGGATGCCAGGGGAGATGAGAAGTCGTCCCTGAGCAGAGAGAAGTCCCACAAGGCCGTCTCCAAAGAGGAGACACGGAGGCCGCCCTCCGGGGACAGCTCGAGAGAGAAGCCGCCCTCGAGTGGGGTGAGGAAGGAGAAGGAGAGGGAGGGCGGCACCAAGAAGAAGGGTCTGCCCGCCTCGGAGGCGGCTTCAGACAACCACGTGAAAAGACCAAAGCACAGAGACTCGGAGAAAACCAGATCCGACAAAAACAAGCCCGGCGTAGACAGCTTAGACGCGGGGAAGGGGGCAGGAGACCTGTTGCCCAAGGTGAAAGAGAAGGTTTCTAACAACCTAAAGACTCAAGAGGGGAAAGTGAAAACGGCTCATTCAGATAGAAAGTCAGTGGGCTCCCTCCCTAAAGCTGAGGAGGCAGACGCGGATGACGAGTTTGAGCAGCCCACCATGTCTTTTGAGTCATACCTCAGCTATGACCAGCCCCGGAAGAAAAAGAAAAAGATTGTGAAAACTTCAGCCACGGCTCTTGGAGAAAAAGGACTTAAAAAAAACGATTCGAAAAGCACTAGTAAAAACTTGGACTCGGTTCAGAAATTACCTAAGGGGCACGAAAACAAGTCAGAGAAGCTTCAGCTGGCTGGGGCTGACGCAGCCAAGCTGAGAAAGGTAAGCCTTCCGCCCCTTGGTGGCTTCCCGTTCCCGGCCGCTGGCCCCGCAGGGCTCCCCGGACCCACCCTGCTGCTGTTTTGCTTGGCTGGCTTTTAGTGGCCTGTTGAACTTCAGTTTGAAGTAATTTCCTCTGGGCCTCTAGCTGCCGGGGTAGGTAGTACCCAAGATAAGTATTCTCTGAGGTGTCCCGTTGTGCTGGGCCCATCTATGTGTATTTCCTGACTCAGGTGCTGTGAGACATGGCTGCCACCCCTCCTCCAGCCTGGGGCCGCCTGGGAAGTCCCCTGCCCCGTCCACACTGCTGGGAACTGACTGTAGGGAGGAGAGCTGTGCTGGCAGAAAGGAGCTCTCCAGTCACTGGTCTCTTTGCAGGTCCCCACCGAGGCGTTGCCCGACCTCCCCTTGCCCGTGATACAGGCCAATTACCGTCCACTTCCTTCCCTCGACTTGATAGCCTCCTTCCAACCAAAGCGAAAAGGTAATTTTCATTTTTTAAATGGAAAAAGATTTTTAAAATTCATTCATGATCTGCCATCAGATTTGGATGCATTTCCTCATCACGCAGGCTCTAGAGTTGCATGGCTTGGGTTTGAATCCCGGCTCTGGCTCTACAAGTTATGTGAACTTGGGTAATACCTTAATTTCCTTGGACTTCAGTTTTGTATTCCGTAAATGGCAATAAAAATAACGGTGTGTGTCTCATAGGGCTGTTAAGTGGATTAAAAGTGATAATCCTGGTAAAGCTCTTAGCTCCAGGTTTCTTCACATAGTGAAGTTCAATAAATCTTAGCGGCTGCTTACTAGTAGCCCTTTATTCTGTATGTTCTACATGAGCTTTTTATCTTAAAAAAAAGTCTAGTTTTAATAGCAAAAGCAATAGAAGCCATATACGTGTCCCTCTGCCAGAGGCTGACAGATAAGTCACGGTTCACCCACACAGTGGCATCCTGTGGGCTGCGAAAACGTGCGAAGTCTATGTGCTGACATGGGATGATTTCTACAATGTGGTAACGGAAAAACAATGATAGTGAGTATGTTATTAATTGGTTAAAAAGGAATAAAATACATATTTGCTTATTCTCGCATCAGCTCTCTGGAAGGATACACAAGAGGCTGGTAGCACTGGTTGCCTTTGAGAAAGGGAACTGGGAGCCTGAGAAATGGGGTGGGAAGGAGAGTTTTCACTGTGTTCCTTAGTGCCTTTTGTGACTTACATTCTGCTTTTCTTGCCTTACAGCCCTCTCATCACCCCAGGAAGAGGAAGAAGCTGGATTCACTGGGCGGAGAATGAATTCTAAGATGCAGGTGTATTCCGGTTCCAAGTGTGCCTACCTCCCCAAAATGATGACCTTGCACCAGCAGTGCATCCGGGTACTTAAGAACAACATCGACTGTAAGCCTCACACCCCCCTCCTTTCTCAAGCATGTTGTGGCACTGGGGCCTCAGCCGCTCCTCACTGCTGTCACCTTTGATTCTCTTGCAGCGATCTTTGAAGTGGGAGGTGTCCCGTATTCTCTTCTTGAACCCGTTTTGGAGAGGTGTACGCCTGATCAGCTGTATCGCATTGAGGAATACAATCACGTGAGTGTCCTGTTTGGGTGGGAAGACGGCAGTTTTCTGGCTTGTGTCTCCAGGAATGGCTTTGTCTCTGTGAAGCTGTTGCAGCTGCAGGGCAGGCCAGCGGTTGGGCCACTGTTCTGGGCATGTTTGGTTTGCCAGTGGGCCTTTAAACAAGCATCTTTTCAGCACCTACTCCTGGCATCTTAAGTGGGCCTCTTGGGCTGGAATCAAGATGGGATTCAAAGGGAGTGAAACATACTTCCCGCTCGTCCCTTGAGCTTGCCTGGTCATCACAGAGGTCAGGGAGAATTCTGGCAGCACAGCCCCTGGGATCTGGGGCATGAACCGAGCTTTGTGTTGACACACAGGTGTCCGGTGAACAGAAGAGAGCACAGATTGGCTGGGTGTCTCTAGAGACATCTAGATGTAGCCAGAAATCCCTCTGTAACGCTGCAGTATACTCACTTGATTGCATTAGCTGTCTCTCTGATTCGGGGGATCTGTAACTGACCCTCCTTCTTCGCTGGCCCCCTTGACAGTCCAGCTGAGGGCAGTGCTGGGGAAATGCCTGGACTTTACCTCCTCCCACTTCTGCCCTTCACTGATTTTCTAAAGGAAAAACTGATCTTAAACTAGTTTTTCTGTTGTCTCCTCTCCCCTCACAATGCCCCAAAGCAGCTAGTACAATGCCTCACACTTAGCATTGTTTTAATTTAGTGATCTGATTTTTTTCTAGAACTGTGGTATTTTAGTATAACACTATACTATGAGGACCAAAAAATCATTAGGAACCTGGTCATGCCTAGGTGATTAAGGATGGAAAAGAGATGTGTAACCGTGCTTGCATATAAATGATGTCCCGGTTCTGATTTTAGGTATTAATTGAAGAAACAGATCAATTATGGAAAATTCATTGTCACCGAGACTTTAAGGAAGAAAGGCCAGAGGAGTATGAGTCATGGCGGGAGATGTACCTGCGGCTCCAGGATGCCCGAGAGCAGCGGCTACGACTGCTGACGAAGAACATCCGATCCGCACACGCGAATAAGCCCAAAGGTAAGAGGAAGAGCCGCAGGGCCTCGGGGGCCCTAAATCTCTCTTGTATTTGCCGAAGGGGGCAGGGGTGGGGTGCTTCTCCTGCCACCACCCGTGCTACCCTACAGGGGCATTTTCAGGGTTGATAATCCCCTAGTTTGGGGAGCACTTAAAAAGCCTTTGTCTCTTAATAGTGTAGATTATTAAAATAATACCGTCTCTGCTCAAGAAGGCAGGTATTGATCTCCATATTTCTCCACAGGCCGACAAGCAAAGATGGCCTTTGTCAACTCTGTGGCCAAACCACCTCGCGATGTTCGGAGACGGCAGGAGAAGTTTGGAACAGGGGGAGCGCTTGTGCCCGAGAAGATCAAGTACGATCTCTGCTCCCCATGGTTTCTGCACGCTTAGGGAAGAGGCCCCAGGGGCGTGTCATTCAGCCCTAAGAGGCAGCCAGCAGTTTATTTTTGGGTGAAAGCACGGCGGTGCGGAGTGAGTTCTGGAGGCCGACCTTGACCTCCCTGAGCCTCAGCTGCTTTGACTGCAGTGTGGGCCAGATAATTCCTCCTGCCTCTCGGGGGGTTCCGGTCACATGGAGAACAGGCCCTGGCTTCGGGGAAGCATGCTTTCCTTTTCCCCATTTGAACAAATAACATATTACTGTCATGACTTTAAGTCATATTAGCATTTTCAGAATGCAGATTTACACCTAAACAGTGAGAAGTTAGTGGAGATTATCATTCCTTCTGAAGGGCTAGTGCCCTCTGAGCCACCGCCCGAATCTAGGGTACTAGGGTCCACGGGCAAAGCCACACAGCCGAGTCCTCCTCAAACAGGCCAGCTTCAGACTGCTGGTGCGGATTTCTCCTACTCAAGGCTAACCAGCTGTGTTCTGCGTTACAGGATTAAGCCAGCCCCGTACTCCACAGGAAGCAGCCACGCTCCCTTCAGCAGTGGCAGCAGCAACAGCTTTAACGCCAGCCCCGAGGAGCCAGCCTACGACGGCCCGAGCACCAGCAGTGCCCACTTGGCGCCTGTGGTCAGCAGCACCGTTTCCTATGACCCTAGGAAACCGACTGTGAAGAGTGAGTAACTTGAGGTTCCTACTCAGGTATTTCAACGTCATTAGTGCCACATCGTATTTTGTGTATTAGATGTAGCACACGTATGACACCTTGCATGTAGCTCGTCTAAATGTCAGTGCCTCCCTTCCCCTGCTTTGTTCATAATGCACAGTATCTTTTAAATAATGATCAGAGTGAATATTCATCTTGGCACTCTGCTTTTTTTAACCTAAGCGTAAACTTGTTTCTCCAGGCAGGAGAGACGAGGTTCTCTCTAAGGTTCAGGACTATCATTATTACAGCTGAATGACAGTCCATCAAATTGAGGTTTTTATAACCTTATAACTGCAGCTTTCAGGTAGTTATCTTTTATATCTAGTTGGGTCTATTTTGTATTTTATTACCTTTGCTACCATAGACTATCCCTAGTATTCTAAGGGAGTGTCCTAACTTAAGAAAAGCATTATTCTGTATTCACTTCAGGGCCCAAGGGAGGTAGAAATCCTCGCTTAAGACCTAGCTGTGCTTAGAGTAACCCTTGAGAGTGCAGGCTAGCCCTCCATGGGTGGCATTTGCATTTAGCTCATCTTAGACCTGTTGCTACAGTGGACAGACGGGCCAGAGCGGGGTGCTTTTTGCTGGTTTGGATATTGGCAAGGCAGAGTTAAATTTTGCCTCAGAGTGGCCTTTCGAGTCTGGCAAGGATTGAATTCCAGTTCTGCCACTTACTGTACAACCAGGGGCAAGTTGGCCAGTCTCTCCGAGTCTTGATGGGGTTGTTAGAGTGATTGTTCCGGGCCTGGCGGGTGCTCAGGTAGCGTCAGCCCTGTGTTGCTGCTTTTACCTGCTGTCAGCAGATAGCTGTCACTTGGATCCATTTGCCTGGCGGTGGAGACGCAAGTGTGGTGCAGGGCTGGGCTCTGATTGTCACCCAACCAAGTGAGACATACACCCAATGGTGGTATATGTCTAAACTGCCACCAGTCAGAAACAACTGCCTTATTTCTCTTTACACAGAAATTGCCCCAATGATGGCCAAGACGATTAAAGCTTTCAAGAACAGATTCTCCCGACGATAAACCGAGGTCTTGCCTTGGAGATGGAGTTTGGGTCGAGGAATATAAGGACAGCAGGGGCTGGGGAATGGAACTTGCAGAGGAGACCAGCGTCTTTGCTGTGTGGAACCTCTTGGTCTCCAGATCCCGTGCCGTTCGCAGGTGCCGCGCCTGCGCGCCCGTGCGCTGCGGCCACTGCCTCCCTGCCTGGAGAATCCTTCAGAATTCTGAAGAAGATGTGAAGCCTCGGTCTCACTGAGGATTTTAAGGTCAATTATACTTTTGTTGTTAATTAGCTTCTTTGTAAACTATAAGACATAGTTTTAATTAATAAATATTGTCCCCAGATTGTATTTATATTACCCCCAGGGTTTTTTTGGTTTTTTTGTTTGATTGTGTTTGGTCCTCTACCACACACTTAGCCTTTCAGGGCCCTTTATTAAAGTTAGACAGAAGCCTAGTGAAAGCCATTCCCCGGTCCCGGTTCAGCTCTCCTGAGTGGACTCCGGTCTAGAGGGAGGACTGGCGTCCCCAGAGCCTGCATGGTGCCAGCTGCACGTGGGCCAAGGTGTGGGTCCTGGGCCGCCTGTCCTAGAGGGGAGCCTCGACGTGGAGACAGGAAGTGTTCAGGTTAGACCCTCACCCTGAGACCCTGCTCAGTGTTGCTTTGAGTTCCTATGCAGGTGCATCTCGTTCTTACTCATCAAATAGTATTTATTAAGGGAGGTTATTTGTAAAGTTCTAGAGTCTTTCCCCCATTCTTTTTGCCAGTTCCCACTGTTTTTTGAGGCTCACTAGAGGACACAGAACCTTGAGAGATGGATTTGCACAGAACCTCAGCATTTCTGCCATTTCTAATTTCTGATTCACAGCTTGAGGGCTTTTCTCCTCCCCTCTTTTTCCTTCTCCCCACTAGTGTGGGGAAAAAACACAAACACATGGCAGGGCTCTTCGTAGCCCCCCAAATACAACTTTGGAGTTTTCAAAGACAGCGCTTTCATCTCTTGTTCCCTGTGACTTGCACTAGAAGTGGATGGTTTTGAAAGGTGTGATGCTGTGTTGGAAATTGGCTTTGTTTTTGCCTTTCTTTAAAAAGTAAGATCATGTGATTGGAAGAGCACAATTTGCTTTGTTTTGTAGCAGACACTCTCACTACTTTTTGAGTGTTTAAGCCAGAATTTGGAGGGAAGGGCCAACTGAGGGGAAGTGTGTGAGCTGTAGCATCCGGATGGGAGAGAACCACAAGGGCATCCGTCAGGTTTGGGAGGACGGTGTCATTGCCCTTCTTGGCTGTGGAAGAGCACTGATCTAGCAGGAACCCACTTGATTGTGACCCAGGTGGAAGCAGATGCTATAAATTTGAGGCGCCCATCCTTAAGAAACCTGACAATTAGACTGAGGGCACGGTTAGTGTGACAGCCTGAGGAGCTTGGCAGTTAGTCCCCGCAATAAGTTCGCTGAAAGCCAAGAATCTGGAGCTCACTGTTTTCAATCATCCTGGAAACCTCGGTTAGGCCAACGGAAGATTCCAGAGCAGCGCAGGAAATCTGTACAGCAAAGGCTGCATTGTTCAGTGTGCGTTGCTGCGCAGGTGCCTGTTGTGATGGGACACAACTATTGCTGTGTTTTAATTTGCTGTATTTTTGAATTGGGTAAAGTATTTCTCTTGGTTGTCGGTATTACCATTCCACCCCTACCCTGCTCCCCAAATCTGATACTGGGAAGCCTCCTCCCTGAAACCAAATGAACCTCGGGCAGGTGCCAGACATCGTTGCCTAGATCAGCTCCCTCTAGGTGCCCAGCATCTCGAATTTGTCTCTTAGCTGTGTGTTCAAGTCTTTGTCATTGAACCCAGTGTTTCCTCTTTTAGGTTCAGTTGTGTATGACTTAATTTCTTTTATTAGGAGTCTTTAGGCCGGGAGGGAAGAAAGGACACGTATTTGTTCATCCCAACATCACTACCCATTTTTGGCACATAAAGATTTTTGATCACCTCTGTTTGCATAGTGCCACATCTTTCCTGCCTTCTCCTCCAAGAGTGTCTGCATCAGGGATGCGACTTGGCGAGAAGAGTGAGGAGGGAAGAGGAAAAACTGAATTTCTAAAGGCCCTCCTGCCCTGGGTTATTGACATGGCTGCAGAGCAGACACAGGATGATGTTGAACCTTTGGTCTCATTTGTGAAAACTTGTGCAATTTTTTTTTTTTCTGTGCTACACTACATACAGATCACCAAATTACAAATTAATCCTTTGTGATCCTTGGTGTAATAAGCAGTTTCTTTGGGGCTTTCTCTTTCTTTCCGGGAAGTGGGAGGGAAAGGAGCAAGGTATCATCCTGCTCTTCATTTGTATTTTGGTCCCAAAATGTAAATACAATTTTCTATGTTACTTTTTTGTGGTAACTACCAAGATGAATATTTTAATTAGATAAGTTATATGAAAAGGAAGGAAAATTCCATGTCTAAATAAAAAACAAAAAACCCCATGTACTGTTGTCTTTCTTCCCTTCTCCTTATTGTGTCAGAGAATGGAAGTCGGTCACAAAATGTCTGCCTCCTGGGTGGGATTCCAATCCTTGGGCCGGGCCATAAAGGGCTGGGTCTCTGTCTGGAGCATGGCAGGACCGGGAAATGGGGACTCACGGGGAGGAGCCCTGTGAGCTGAGGGGGGAAACTCAGATGAAAACAAGCACCTCGTGGGGACCAGGCACCGTCCCATTTTTATACTTGGAACCCTGGGACTGAGCTGTTAAACCCCCTTTAAGTTAGAAGCTGAGGCTCAGAGGCTGAAATAACAGCCAAAGCTGCATAGCTAGTGAGCGGCAAAGGAAAGGATCTGAAACCCAGATTCTCTGACTGCAAAATGTATGTTACTGCACCTTTCAGTCATTTCTTCGGGGGATGTGAAGGAGCTCAGTCTTACGATGGCTTCCTAGTGAAAGCATAATGAACACTAACGCAGAAGAATCGAGCCAGCAGGGACTTAGAAGGAGCAGCTGTGTTGGCCCCGACGGCGCTGCAGCAGTTTCAGCCCCGTGAACGGAGCCAGGGCTGGGTTTCAGCCCCAGCTTACATCCAGTGGGTGGGACTCTACGTCAGATCTACATCTCCCAACAACGCGGCTTTATTTCCCTTTCCTCTCTCAGAAGAGGGCATTCTTGGTTTATGGTCTGGACTTACTCTTCCCAATTCTTTACTGGATCTAATTCTCACTGTTAGAAATTACTAAGCATTGAATTAACGGAACGTGGCATCTAGGATGACTTCACCCAGGGTCTGTGCCTTCTTCCTTAATTCAGCATTTGCTGAGCCAGGACCTGTGTTACACTCTGGGATAGAGAGTAACACAATCACGTCTGGTGCTCATGGTCAGGTAAGAGTAGCTGACCTCATTGGTAATGCACCTACTGTGTGCCACGCACCACTCTGGCTTATAGACTTTATCTCGATTATCACAATGGTCCTACAACGTAGGTGGTCATGGCCTCATTTTAAAAACTGAAGTGCCTGGAAATGAAGAACTTGCCCAAGGTCACACAATCGGTGAGCAGCGGTGCTGTGTGTTGACCTGACTCCAAGCACATGTTCTCAGTCACATTTTCCATCTCATACAAACACACATACCTGACGTTAGGCTTCTGGAGCAAAGCCGGCCCCCCATGCAAAAAGATGCCTGGGCCAAGGCCCTAATCATTTCTAAGAATGGTGTCTTCTCTCTGCTGCACGTAACCAGGCCCAGAAGAACCCTCTACTGGCTTATCACCCAGACAGATGTCCCCTTCACAGGGTTTCTCCACGAGGGTTCTGCATCCACTTGAGTCTCTCCCTGGTTATTTGGCTAAATAGTTAGACACGCAGTTTGTCTTCATAGGCCCCAGACTTTTCTTTCTGTGATGCCTACTGTCTCCACCCTTCTCAGAAACTTCCGAGGAAAGTTCAGGCCATCAAAATTTCACATAGCTGTGCCTGTGTTTCTCAAGCATAGAATCCCGGAGTTGGAGTCCCGAAGTGTGCATTAAAAAAAACCCCCAAAAACCCAAGGAGTCCTCAAAATGTACATTAAAGTTTGAGAACTGCTCCAGAGAATTTGCCACAAACAGTTTAAAAGCTCTTCACAGCTGGCCCACGGTCAGCGCTGGGAAGCTGGACATTCAGTCACACAGCACATACTTGTGTTGCCCTCTCTGTGTCACTAAATAAGATGGACACGGCCCCTGCCTTCATGGGGCTTTCATCTAGCAGGGGACACAGCAATCGACTGACTGCACAAGTCACTGTTTAAGATACAGATTTCTGGGCCCCACTGCACACGTCCGTTGGAGTAGGTCAGAGGTAGGATCTGGAAATGTGTACTTTTTCTAGGCCTCCCCAATGAGTTTGATGAGCAGCCTGCTTTGGGAATGCCTAGTGCAGTGGAAAACCAACGCAGGCGCTTTGGAATGAGTCACACCCAGGTTCCACCCCCGGCTCCACCACTCTTTAGCTCTGTGACCCCTCTCTGAGCCTCAGTTTCTTCATCTATAAAATGGGAATAATGACACCCCACAGGAATTCTTCTAAGGTTTCAATGAGAAAAAGGGGGCTCAATAAATTTTAGTGTCCTTCCTTCATTCCCTCTAAATGTGGAATGAAAGGAAAAGTTTTGTTCCCTGTCAATGGGAATTGAAGCTTTAGGGTCACAAGCTAAGAACTATTTTGAGGTCCGCGAGTCCTTCCTGATAAGTGAACCCTTCGCCCCCGCTGCCCTGACGGGTTAGTTCCACTCTTCTGTTTTTGGACTCCTATCTATTCTTTCAGATCCCATATACTACAGCCCCTAACAACCATCAAAAAGGCAGCCTCTACCTCATTTCCTCTTACCTCGGGGCTCACAATCTCAAATACCAGGAATTTGGTGTAAGACAATGAGGCGTGGTGGGAACAGAAAGAAAACGAGAGCCACTTCCACAGCTCCACCCGATCATTTCCAGGTGGAAGGCAGGGCCCAGAGTGGCCGCCACATCTTCTGAGTTTTAAAGACAAGACAGAAATCTAGATTTCTATGTAAAATTTCCCAGTTTTTAAAACTCTGTGCCCCAACTATATGCGATATATCAGAAAACCTATATGAAGTGGATAATCGTCCAGAAAAATACAACTTACCCAAATTCACTCCTATAGACAAGTCTAAACAGACTAATCGCCACAGAAGAAATAGAGAAAGTTGTTATGGGGCCTCCCCTGCAAGAAGGCTCCAGGCCTAGGACTGTTTCAGAGGGGAATTTTTTCAACCTCAAAGATCAGATAAGACCAGTGCCCTTACACCATTCCAAAGCAAAGAAAAAGAGGGAAAAGTCTATTGAAGCTGGTGTAACACTGATATAGAAACTGGATAAAGAATGATGCGACTATCCTCAAACTAGCAGAATCTAAGAGCAAGTTAAAGCAAAGAAATGATGCCGCAACAGGGTGTATTTAGGACTGGCAGGACAGTCAGACTATTAGGATGGGCTAGGACAGTAGTTCTCAACTGCGGGTGATTTTGCCCCCAGTGAGACACTTAGCAAGCAATGTCAAACATTCCACGACGCACAGGACAGCCCCTCACAGCAAAGAACTATCTGACCCCAAATGTCAATAGTGCTGAGTTTGAGGAACCCTGGACTCGGTCATGTCGCGGTAACAATTCCCAAATCTCAGTGGCTCAAAACAACACAGGTTTGTTCCTCACTCACACTGCTTGTCTACTGTGGGTCTGAGGGGGCTCTGCTCTATGTCACCCTCACTCAGGGATCCAGGCTAAGGGAGACACCATCCCTGTGCTGCTAAGATTTTCAAGGCACAAGAAGGTTGCGCTGGCCCCTAAGCTACGTCCAGAAGTGACATCCATCATATTTCATTGACTGCACCTAAATTCAAGGGGACAGGGAAGCACAATCCATCCACGTGCCTGGACACAGAGAACTAGAAATATTTGCTAACAGCACCAAAGACTCCAAAGGGAATCATGGCAGCTGGGACTCTCAGGTGATCCACACAGCCACCCAGCTTCAAATCTCACACTTCCCAGCTGTGTGCCCCTGAGCAAGTCACTAAACCTCTCTGTGTCTCCATTTCTTCCTCCAAAAATGAGAAAAATACATCACCCTTGCAAAGCCATCATATGAGTTAAAACATGCAAAGTGCTTAGAACAGTGCCTGGCACACAGAAAGAGCTCAGGACATGTTAGCCAGGACGTTGATGATGAACTAGGTGAAACATCCAACAAGGAAGGGGCATTTAGTAAAGGATTGCTGTTATGACTGAAGCTCTGAGGAAAATGACTCGTCCAAGGTCACCCAGCTCATAAGTGCAGCATGGCAGTTAAGAGCCTGAGCTCTGGGGGTCTCAGTTTGGCACATAGTAAGTACTCAGTAAATGTTAATTAATATTTGGAAAAGGTCCAGCGTGGTTAAGAGTATGGACTCTGGAGCCTATTGCCTGGGTTTAAATCCTAGTTCCACTACTAACCAGCTGTGTGACCTTGGGTAAGTTACTTAGCCTCTCTGTGCCCCAGTTTTCTCATCTATAAAATGAGGATAATAATAGGACACTTGCAATTACGAAGATTAAAAAATAATATAAGTAAAACCCTCAAGACAGTGCTTGGCACATTATTAGTGCCATATGGTTGTTAGCTATTATTGTTACTATACTTTCCGTTGGCCACAAAGAAGCATTCAAAAGTAACAGAAAAACAGTTTGCTTCTCCTAGCCTACGTGAGACAGAAGAGAAGGGAAGATGGATACAAATTCAGCAGTCCTTGAGCTACAGAAATGTTTGCAGATGGAGCCTAGGAGTAGGAGAAAGAAAAAACATGGAAGCTTTTCCTACCTGCTCCAGGGTAGTCCTAGAAGTCTGAGAATTGCCATCTGTCCTCAGACATCCCTGCAACACAGGAGTGCAAGAGCAGGGACAGGCAGAGTCAGCCGAGGGAAAGGCATTACTCTAAGTTAGCCTGCAAACAGTTGGTTTCTTCCAAATCCAGCCCCCTTAGCAATTGCAGTTTCTCCTATAACCAGACGGAGGCGCTGAGCTGAAAGTCTTGCTCAGCAACAGTAAGAGCCGCTTAACCTTTTCCTACCCGCCAGAGGTTGTTCCAAAGAGTTTCCCTGCATTATCTCATATGAATCTCATAACAAAACCCTACTAGGGTACTCTTATTATTCTCATTGTATATATGACAAATCTGAGGCTTAGGGAAGCTAAGCAACTTGTCCAGCAGGTCATACCTAATATTTGTGGGATCAGGGCAAGGGTACAAATGAAGACATACTTAAGAAGTTATAAATGGAGCTAAGGAACTGTTAAATAAAGTACAGTCTATTCTGCTACCTTGACAAATGAACCTCCACAATGACCTGGAAGGCCACATTCACATTTCTGGGCCTCCTGGAGCTCTGCAATAGAAGGTGGTGGAAAGGGAGAGAGTAGGACCCTAGCCCCACCCGCTTTCTCTTCATGCCCCTAAATATGCGTCCCTGCAAAGGGCTTTCTGCATCCGTGTGCAGATGTCCTAACCAGCATGCTCACGTTCTGTTCCAGGGTTTCTAAGTTGAAAGGGTCCATCAGGTATCCAGCACAATAAAAGGCAAAAGAGCCACAACAAAGCACAACATTATCACATTTCAGAATACTAGTGACCAGGAAGAGAGCAGGGGGGAAACCATACACAGAATCAGGATTCAGAACGGCATTGTACTTTTCAAAGCTAGAAGAAAACAGCAATATCTTCAAAATTCTGAAAAAATTTTATCTTCAGCCAAATTACCAATTAAAGATAAGAGAAGGGGCCAGCCCAGTGGCATAGTGGTTAAGTTTGCATGCTCTGCTTCAGCAGCCAGGGGTTTGCAGGTTCGGATCCTGGGTGTGGACCTAGCACTGCTCATCAAGCCATGCTGTGGCAGCGTCCCACATAAAATAGAGGAAGATGGGCACAGATGTTAGCTCAGTGACAATCTTCCTTAAAAAAAATACATATATATATATAAGAGAAGAATAAAGACATTTTCAGTGGTCATTTAACATGTGCGGTAGTGTGGTAGCCAGCCTTTTGTGAGGTCCCCTCCCTGGTATTTGCACCCTCACATAGTTCCCTCACACTTTGAATATGGCTGACCTGTGGAACCATGGGACATTGCAGAATTGACAGTATGTGACTAAGCTCAGGTAGCCTGCTGGGGACATGTGGCCCCATCCCCTCAGCTGACAACCAGACACGTGAATGAGGCCATTCCAAATTATTCAGCACAAGCCAAAGTGGTCTCGAAAAGAGAAATACCCAGGTAATCTACAGAATCATGAGAAATAATAAATGCTTGTTGTTTAAAGCTTTAAGTTTTGGGGTGATTTGTTACATAGCATAAGCTAATTAATTCAACATATTTACCTCATGTGTACCTTTTGTTTCGGGAAACTATAGGGTGTGTTCAAAGTCTGGTTACTTCCTAACCTTAGCTGATCTTGGGCAAGTTAATCCACCTCTTTAAGTCTTGGCTTTCCTCATCTTCAAATTGGAGGTAACACTGGGTAATACTACCTGTCTCTTAAAGTTCATGTGACAAATAATTGAGACGAACTACATAACGTGCCTTAGCATAATATCTGGCACATACTTCTCAACAAATCAGTAAATGATGACAGCGATGAAAATGACAGGAAAGAAGCCAAAAGTGAGTAGATTTCCCAGGTAAGGCCTGTGTTAGTCCTGCAGTGGGATGTGGTCTTTCCGAAGGAAGGCTACTGAGTGTATCACTGAATTAAACAAGTACTTACTAAGTGTTTACCATGTGCCAAGCCTGCAACTGTGATGTGAAAGCAGGAATCACTCATGACATTGAGCTATTTTGAACCAGAACCAAGCTTGCCTATTTCACAAAGAATTGAACTAGGACATCAAAAATATGTCTGAATGGAACTTGAGCAGACAGATATTTTGGTTTGTATTTCACCAGCCCCAGTCTCGTCTGGACACTCCAGAGCCAGAAGCAAAGGGCAGGGGATAGCCAGACTACCCCATAACTCTCTCTACATCCTCTGTCGTTTCCCTTCCCTGCCAAGGAGTAAGGATGCATTCTATCCTGAAACTGAAATCATTTCAACTCTAAATAGTGGCTTTCAATTCTTGTGACCTCAACCCACAATATGAAAAACATTTTACATTGCACCTGAGTACATGGACCCAAAACTGAAACACAAGTTTCATAAATTGAGACTTAAAACGTGTAAATTTTTTATCATATTCTATTTTTTGAATGCTGGTCGCAATCCTCTAAGTGGATTTTAAGACCCATTAATGCATCACAACCAGCTGTTAGAAAAAATTACTCTAAAATATCACACGGGGAGGGGACTTAAAGGTCATCTAGCCCAATCTTTGCACTTTAAACGGGGCTGAGACTCAGAGAGGTTGTCACTTGCCCAAGGCCACTCAGTTAGCAAATGGCAGTGCTTGGAGTTGAGCCAAGATCTGACTCAACTACTGAATTCTTAGCATGTGTCAGCCACCATGCTGAGTTCTTTAAGGGCATTATTTAATACTCACTGCGATCTTATGAAACAGATATTATTACTCCCACTTTACAGATGAGGAAATGAAGTGTCACGATGGGGGAAATGACTTAATCAGAGTGTCACACCGTCAGTAGCAGACCCAGGACTTGTCTCCAGATCCGGCTGTCCAAAAAGCCCACTATGAAGAAAGTTGTTATGAAAGTGGGTTAGCGAGCTCTAAGCGCCGAAGTCTGCAGCTGTGAGCCAGCGATGATGCTGCGCTCCCTACTCTTCGGGGCCCTATCATTGCGCACGCTTTCCTCCGCCAGCTCCCCAAAAATGCTGGCGGTAAAATAAAAGAGCACAGACTTTAGCCTACGGGGAAGGAGGATTCGAAACCCGACCCCACCATCTACTCGGAACACCAGCTTCATCCCTCTGCCCTTCAGTTTCCACATCTGTGAAGCTGCGCTAGCAACAGCATCCGCCCCGAGTACTGAAAGAGTCAACATTAATCCCATGGCATCTGCAAGCGCGGGCCAAAGGCCAAGCCTCCCAGAGCCCCGCCCACTTCTCCCCGGGCGCATGCGCGGCACAGGGGCGCCTTTTACGACGCGGCGGGCGCGGCGCGCTTGGCGGCCGGAGCGGGGAGAGCGCGGTGTGGGCGACGGCGGCCGCGGCGGCGGGGCCGAGGGGACGCGCGGGTGGCGGCGTCGCCATGTCGCATGGCCACAGCCACGGCGGGGGCGGTTGCCGCTGCGCCGCCGAACAAGAGGAGCCGCCCGAGCAGCGCGGCCTGGCCTACGGCCTGTACCTGCGCATCGACCTGGAGCGGCTGCAGTGCCTCAACGAGAGCCGCGAGGGCAGCGGCCGCGGCGTCTTCAAGCCGTGGGAGGAGCGGACCGACCGCTCCAAGGTGGGCTTTCCGGGGCCGCGGCGGGCGGGGACCCTCGCGGGGCCTCAGGCCGCCCGCCTGCTCTGTCAGCCTCGTTCTCGAAGTTAAAAATAACGACAGCCCGGTTGCCAGGCGCTTTGCCGTGCCCGTCTCTTGCCAGCCCTTTGGGAGGCCACCAGGATCGGGTCTCCCATTTGGCAGGTAGAGAACTGAGGCCCAGAGAGGGAAAGGGGCTCTCCGGCTTTGCACAGCCAACGTTCTGTTCCAGGGTTACAGGGCTAGGGAGGGAGGATGGCCATGAGGGTGTTCTCCATAGCGTTTGACCCCGGGTCCCTATGGCTGCCGGATCATATCACCTGATGAAGACGAGAGACCAGCCTAGGGAGATGAAGCAAGCGCGTCATCCTGTCTGCACCATAGATCATTTTGGGGGGGTCACAGAGCCGTTTGAAAGCTGGACCGCTTAGGCACAGATCTTGGCACACAATTTCAGGAGGCTAGCTGGCCCTCGAAGTTCATTTCCTGGGCTCCCCGTTAAGAACCGTCTGATTGGATGGTCTGTGGCTATTAATTTATTAACATCAGGTTAACAAGTGCTGGAAAACCGAGGGAGGTGGACTGTTTGCAATGCGCTCCACTTGTAGAACAGGGTGGGAGCTACCTGAAATTCTAGGCTCTCAGAAAATATTTGTTTCTCTCTCCTTCCTCCTCCCCATCCCCTCCAGTTTGTTGAAAGTGATGCGGATGAAGAGCTTCTGTTTAATATTCCGTAAGTAGCTTCTCGGTGCTTGTCTCAGGCTAAACAGTCTGTACGCAGTTGCCCTATCAGGGTTCATTCCCTAGTTGTATCAAGAGCCCACATCTGTTTCTAGAAACCGCGTAAATGACGGTGGCGGGTGTGAGGAGGAAAGCATCATAGGTTTCTTGCTGGATATTGAAAAGAGATGTATTTGTTAAAAGATAACTGAGAAGTCAAGGTAGATTTTTTAGAACTGCAGTATGCCAGAGGCACATCGGATCTTCACGATTATCTAGTACAAGTCTGACACATGGGTAAACTGAAGCCCAGCAAGGGGAAGGGTTTTGCCCAGCCCCACACAACTAAGTAGAGATTCAAATCCAGGTTGACAACCTTCTCTTTTGCATTCTGGCAGATTCACAGGCAATGTCAAGCTCAAAGGCATCATCATAATGGGAGAGGACGATGACTCACACCCTTCTGAGATGAGACTGTAAGTGGCAAGGGCTTAGGCCCCCAAGGAGCTCCTAGTTCCCTTTCTCTAGTAGCACTTTATTCCAGAATAATAGAATTTTTTTTTTTACTGGGTTAAATATCCCCTGACTCCCTTTAAGAAAAGATCTTGTTCTGCACACACTTATCTCTTCCCGAGTTAATGGCTTTTAGGTTAAGCATCTTTAGGGCCAACAGCTTATCTCTTTTCAAAGTGCTTGCTGTGGCACCATTCATTCAGAGAGCATCCTATAAATGCCAACAGTTGATGACTTTGCAGTTTTCTTAATAACCCAGCTGCAGATCTCAAGTGATCTTTATGAATTCTACTTTTGGGGTTAGCTTCAGAATTTTCCCTTGCTATTTCGTGCAGTTCTAATCCTTGTGTGTGTTTTGTTGACGTGGAATTACTCTGAGTTTGCATGGCCTTTAGTTAGCAAGGTTCTCTATACCTCTTGCAACACTTCATCTGTTGCCACCAGAGCTGACGCTCCCTTGTTGACAACTTGCCTTATGCCAGCATAGCCTCCCTAAACGAAGGGGAAAACCACTTTCTGAGTGCTGGAGAAACAAATATCAGAAGATCTTTACATAAAAAATTTC